AGCCAGGCCGAGGAGGCTGCTCTTGCCAATCCACGGCCTGCCTCCTGACTGCCTGAAGGGCCAGCCAGGCCGAGGAGGCTGCTCTTGCCAATGCCGAAGTGTGCCAGGGGCTGGCGCTGCAGCATCTGCTGAGGCTGGCCTGGATACAGGCTAAGAATAGCCTCTTCCCGAAACCCTGGTTTGGTGCCTGAGTTTCAGGGCCGGTCGTTCTGGTGAACGACCGAAAATAGCCCTTCGTTTCAGGCTAAAAAGGCTCTTGCCATTTTAAGTTTGAAACGACACAGGGACTTTAGGCCCCTGTTTTCAGGCTGAATTCTAGGCTTTTTGGCTGAAGGGCGCAGGGCCTGGAAAATGGCCTGCGTGTGCAGGTGTAGCATGTAACAGTCTGGCACTGCGGCTGTCGTGGGAACAGGCCAAAAATAGCATGTTCCTAAAACCCTGGTTTGGTGCCTGACTTTCAGGGCAGGTCGGTCTGATAACAGACCGAAAATGGCCCTTTGTTTCAGGCTAAAAAGGCTACTGCCATTTTTTGTCTGAAACGACACAGGGTCTGTAGGCCCGTGTTTTTCAGGCTTTCAAGCTGAATGGACACGGGGCCTGCAGGCCCTGGTTTTCAGGGTTTCAGCCTGAATTTCAGTCTTTCAGCCTGAGAGACGCAGGGCCTGGAAAATGGCCCTCGTGTGCAGGCGCAGCATGTAACCCCCCCCCCCTCCTTATGAAGTCAAGCCGGGGCGAGATGGCGAAGCTGACGATCTGAAGGTGGAACCTGGACGCGGGCGCGGCGTGGAGCCGAAGAGACCGGCTTGCCTTGCATCTCGCATTCGTAGCGTGAGAACATCTGGAGCTGTTGCTTGAAGTTCTGCACGGGTCAACCAACAGTCAGCTCGGTGTGTGCAGTATGCAAAATCTACCAAGTACTCGGTTGGCCTGTTGCCGTAGCGTCGCTGAAAGATGATGTCGCCGACTTCTTGAAAACCGTCCATAGAGGGTGGGTCTTGCGAACGTCGCCCGGGAAAATCGTCATGTTCCGCTGGCGTGTAAAGAGTCAACTTGGAGCAATGAAAGGCTGGGTAGACAGGCAAGTGGGC